TATATTCTTTCATATTCTAACAAAAGTCTTCTCTTTAAACAATATTTTTGTTCCATTAGAATATCTAACCAATCGGCAATCAGAAGAAAATAAAGAAAAAAATGAAAATATTATTCAATTATGTGTGCTGTGGTATAGAAGTATGTTCTGTACCATTGTTAAAAAGTCTTCATAATTTCGTTCTTTACGTCTACTTTACATGTGTGTAGTACAGCTAACCAATACTTACAAATCCAACATTAGTTAAACTAATTATATATTACAGTTTCAATTACAAGGTCCGCAGACACTTCAAATTTAAGCATAAATCCCTATCTGATATCAAAATCAAACACACAAAGAAGAATTATATATGCATTTATCATCATCGTTGACAATTATTTGTCACACTATAATTAATATGTCATAAGTTACAGATCGCTTTATCTAATTCATATTGCTTAGAATTTAAACGTCGGTGTACTAAGTTTACATATAATACCTTGATTAACTACTGAAAATGCTGATAACTCATAGCGCGCGCGCACACTTTTTTTTTTTTTTTGGATAATTGCGCGCGCACTTTTTTTTGTTTCGAACATAAATAGTACTAATTAACTACTGTGACTTAAACTAATTAGCTGATAATTACAATGATCTACAGCTCCATTAGAAGATATTTTCTAGAAAAATCGTGGAAAAATTAAAAAAGTACTCGCTAACTTTATTTAATTAGAAAATACGTATTGGAATAGTGGATTGATTAAGAAAAGAGAAAAAACCAAAAATGCTATCATTAAAATAACACTATTTTATTTCTATCACTGTTATAAATTTATCTCAGGCGACTAATAACCTATAAGTTATATTTTCACTTATTATCTTTCGTAATCTGCACGTTATTTTTCGTAATCAGTTAAACTTGAAATTTTCCCTTAAGAAAATTACAATAGGAGTACTATATCATAAGGTATTAGAGAGAGAGAGAGAGATTTAAACTTAAAATTTTCCCTTAAGAAAATTACAATAGGAGTACTATATCATAAGGTATTAGAGAGAGAGAGAGAGAGAGAGAGAGAGAGAGAGCCCTTAAGAAAATTACAGAGAGAGAGAGAGAGAGAGAGAGTTCAGGGTTAAGCCACAAAGTTATTTGAAGATCAAGTAATCGCTACAAATAATAAGATTCTTTGCATATAAGATTCACTGATATGTGAAAAACGACCTATATAGACGGTACCATTTTGTAATCTGGTGCCCAAATTTCATCATTAGTACCTTCTTCTTAGCGGTTCTATATTTCCATCTCACAAACAACGTGCAAATGAGCTCATTTCTTCGGGATGACTACTTGTTGAAAACAATAGCATCAAGGAAACAATATAACATGGAAATAAAAGTCGCGCAGCTAGCGCATATATATATATAAATCATGGTATCAAGATGTGTAATACAAGTATAATTTATAAATTGTTTTATTCGACAAAAATTAATAAATGCAAGAGACTAGTCCATTAATTGCTTCACAGTTATAACCACTGCGTAGAAATTAATTTTTTTTATTTGTCATCATCTAATTATACAAATATACAATTATTATAATTTTGTTGAAAAGCTAAATAGATATTACATATACCATGTTGTCCTAACCCATGCTTCTTTTCTAGAATTATTATAATAATCCTTCTCTTTTTTCTTTTTCCGCTTTTCCTGAATTAGGAAAAGGAGAGCTTGCAACAGCTTGGCTCGTGGGTCCATGGCTTTCATCATTCTCTCTAATAGTGATGAGCAAATGTTGCCTGGCACAAGGTGGGTATTTATAATTTGGGAAAATGGGAATTGCCATGATGTACAATTTTCCTTCCACGTGTCACCGTCACCTTTTTCCACATGGCACTCAAATGGTGACGTGGCACGTGGGCTACTTAGGGCGGAGGTTGTGGCCCACGAATTTGTGATGTAGACAATATCCAAGTGGCAGACAGAGGAGAGGAGAATATGGCTTAGTTGTTTAGTTGCATAAACTATTAAGCACGGTCTTGAATTATTATATACAAATATATATAATTTTGTATAATTAAAACACTGGATCATCATATTCAATTTATAACACACCCATGTTTCTCCAACTAATTCTATGCGGTTTGTTGGTTGACATAGATTATTAATTTGGACTTGTTATGTCTATTTCACTTTTGCTCCACAAAATGGCTTAAAAAATTCAAAGGAGTTTTTGTTTTATAACCCCGTGGAATCTAGAACGTGATTAGAAAGAGCTTAGAGTTTTAATTATGGAAGTCATTTACATTGTTTAGTTCAAACACCAGTAGAGCAATTTGGTTAGGGAATTGACCATCTCTATTCAAGAAGTGGTGGGTGGGCATATGCATTGTTAAAGATTTCTATTGTAAATATTTAACGGTCACATTTATAGCAGAAATTATTTGTTCTATATATTTTATTTTTTATTTCAATATGATTTTAATCAGAAACAAACACTCTAAGTAGGTGGCTTATCATAATTATAATACGTTTAGTTTATGGATTAAAATCATGATATTATAACTATTTTTTATTTACGTGTATTTTTTATGAGAGAAAATACTGTAACGAATCATGATACGAATCCCCTTACTAAACACACTGACATGTGATGAACTGAATTGAGATATTTCAAAAAAAAAAAAAAAAAGAAAAATAATAATTGATGGTAATGAAAATTTGAAAGTAGAAAATAAGGACCGACTTTTTAAATTAGGAACCTTGAGATTTGAGATGGTGGATTTACAATTGTACTATGAAGCCAATCATAACACAAAACAGTAATAAACAATATATACCAAATCACGGATGCACAATGCATGCATTAAATCTTAAGCTTATGAGTAAGATTCCACTTCAGCCCCTATCCTTTTTAGCGGACGCATTGTATGAGAACAGAAATAACAAGACGGGGGTTAGATTTTTTTATTTATTTATCGTGGGATAAAAATCAACATCGGACCATAAAAAGGAAAAAGGCCAAACAAAAAAAGAAAAAAACTTAAAGCCCCGTTCATTTCGTCGATTCGAGTTTTGCTACAGTAAAAAGCTCTTAAAAACAGTCACATCTAATATTTCGTCGATTCGAGTTTAGAATTTGAGTTTTGCTACAGTAAAAAGCTCTTAGAAACAGTCACATCTAACTTTTTTGCTACAGTAAAAAGCTCTCACATAAAATCACATCTCAACTCGAATTACAAACTCGAATCAGCGAAGTAAACGGGCCTTATAATAAATAAGGACTGACGCGTAAGTTGTACGCGCCGTCTGGAACACGTCACCTGAGAAAGGGCGGGGAACAACGAGAAGTTCATCTTTATTTAAAAAACTCTCTCTCACCCTTCAAAAAGATTAAAAAGAAACTCTCTTTCTCTTATCTGTCTCTCTCTCTCTAAAAGCTTTCTTTCTGCTCTTGATTTTTATACATATTACTCTTCGTCAAGAAAGAGAGAGATAAAACCACAGTCCTAAGAAACACACACACACACATATATATATATATATACATATATATTTGTGTATAAAAAGGTTGGCAGCAGATTAGATAATCGCGAGATTGATAGTCTGAGGTTTTTGCAGAAGGAACTCTGTATGTGACCTCAAAAACCAAGCACACAACACGCAGAGAGAGAGAGAGAGAGACAGAAATTAAAATAAACAACATATTTTTCTTTTACTAAAAAGAAAAACAAAAACAAAAAACAAAAAAACAAAACGGGGTAGCCTAAGAATTCTCTAATATTTTTGACCTCCAAATGCACATGGCTTCTTGGGCTTCTCTTCTCTCCCACATTTTTTTTTTCTTTTGTTTTCCTTTTCCCTCACATGGTCTCCTCTCTCTCTCTCTCTCTCTCTCTCTCTCTCTCTCTCTCTCTCTCTCCCTCTGTGAAATACAAAAACTAATTCAATACAATAATATTGAAAGCTTTTGACTCATCAGTTGAAGAGATTCTCCAGATCTACAGTGAAAAGCCTTAGCCATATTTCCCAGCTTCATTCATCTTCTTCTTCTTCAAAGGAGGAGGTTCTTTCCTGTGTGGCTTTCCGTTGAATCGCAAAAGGTTAGCTTTTTGATCTCAATTATTAGTTTAGATATGTTTACTTTAGCTTCCTAATTGTCACCAAATACATTGAACAATCGACAATTTGACTTTTCATTTATGTTTTCGATTCATGAAGATCTCTTATTCATTGAACCAAATTCAGGTCTTAGTTCTGTATTTGGTTTCTACAAGTTTGATTTTTCCCACTGTGGCAGAATTTTACTTGACACCTAAATTGTTTTAATTTGCTAATTTTTGTTAAGCATTTTCTCGTTTTGTTCAGTAAACGTATATATAATGTAAGAATTTTGTTAATTCAAAGTTTACTTTTGCTCTTTTGAAGTGAAATTCTTCCGTTGAATGGTAATTACATCATCATGTCGTATCATCTTCTCAACATAGAAAACAAATATTTTTTTTTTAATGATGCTTACCTTTTTCAACTTTCTCTCCCTGTTGACGGCGGAAAATCCGAAAATGCATAAAAAAATCTACTCTCTTTTCCATGTTTGATATTGCCCATTCTTTACCTTTTTTCTCGTTTCAATCTGCTTATCAATAACATGGGTTTGTCCGGGCAAAATTCTCCTTTCAATCTGCTTATCGATTGAATTTTTCATGTTACTGTTCACCGGATCTTCTGTATGGTTGAGTAATTTATTGACATTTTTGTTGTTGTTGGTTTGTTTGTTTGTTTGTTTTTGTTTTTTTTTAACTACTCACTTGAATTTGTAGGTTCCACTAAAAATATGCATGTATGTTCGAAATTAATACAAACAATTTCGTAATGGAATCCAAAACTTTCTTGTTTCAGGTATCAAACTGATTCGGGATTGTTCCTTTAGAACAGTACTTTTAGTTGAACTCATATGAGTAGTATTTAGTAACAAAAGTGGGTGGTAATTTGGTAAAGTGAATGATACTGTTAAGTGAGGTTTCATGGTTTGCGAGATGGAGACCAACCATGTGGAAGAAATGGACATCGAAATGGACGTCGAAATCCTGCCTTCGATGTGGCCGGAGGATATCGGAAACGACGCCGGTAAACAGTTCAACGTAGAGAGGCCGGGGCGGGACCAAGACATGTTAGAGGAGGTGACAATCCTGGAGGAGCCAACCATAGTTGATTTCAAGCGTCTTTTGGAGCTCACCAACTATAGTGAAAAGGGATCTTCTCAATTGGCTTACCTTGTTAAACACTGGGAGTACAAACAGGCAAATGCCGTGCGCCTCCTAAGAGAAGAGCTCGCCATTCTGAGCAAGCAAAGGCAGGAGGCTGAGCTCAAGAAGTTGGAAATTCTAGAGGAGCATCTGTTCGATTTGGAGACATATGGCGACAAGCATCCCATTTCGATTCTTGACGGGGCCTACGACATATGGCCGGATGTTCCTAGGATAAGAAATGATGTCGTTGTGCAGAACAAGGGGATTGAAATCGATGCTGAGTATGATACTGTTGTGCACTGGAAGCAGAGAGCCTTGCATTTAGAGAAATTGTTGGAGGCGAGTAAGCAAAGAGAGCAGATTCTCATGGCAAAGTTACAAGAGAGCATTGTAAATCTTGAAAGGCAATCCTCTCCAGTGGAAGAGTTGTCTCAGATCTTGAAGAGAGCGGATAATTACTTGCACTTTGTGCTTCAGAACGCACCTGTTGTTATTGGTCATCAGGTAACTGTATTAAGCACAATCAAAACCTTAAGCACCTACAAGTGTGACTGTTTGAATTTCTCTGATAATCTTTTTTTTTTCTTTTCTATTCTTATTATTATTATTATTTTTCAGGACAACGAGTTGAGATATCGGTTTATCTATAATCACTTCCCAAGTTTGCAAGAGGAGGTAATTAGTAGCCATTGCAGTTCTTAGTCAAGGTTTGATATGAGAAGTTCATGTAATTTTTTACTGAGTGGAACGAAATAAGTACTTTTAAACTTACTGTTCTCTTTCAGGACATTATAGGAAAAACAGACGTTGAGATTTTTACTGGATCTGGCGTGAAAGAATCTCAAGATTTCAAGAGAGAAGTTCTCGAGAAGGGATTACCCGCGAAAAGGGAGATCACATTCGAGACAGAACTATTCGGGTCGAAGACTTTTTTGATATATGTTGAACCAGTCTTTAGCAAGTCAGGGGAAACAATTGGTATAAATTACATGGGGATGGATGTCACTGATCAGGTGAATACTATTTCTTTCCCAAGTGGTCATTTTGTCAGACTTTTCTAGTGATGATAAAATTTCTAATAGTGCTTTCCTCATTGTGGCACCAGGTGAGGAAAAGGGAAAAGATGGCAAAGCTCAGGGAGGAGATAGCAGTAAGAAAGGCCAAAGAAACAGAACTGAACAAAACAATTCACATAACAGGTTCAATTTCTTGTTGAAGTCTGTTGGGTTGTGGATTTCCTTAAATAATTTGGCCTCAGGAGTAGAATTAATACTCTTTTTTTTTTTTTTTCACTTTTTATTTCTCTCTCAGAGGAGACAATGCGTGCTAAGCAAATGCTGGCAACCATGTCTCATGAGATAAGATCTCCTCTCTCTGGAGTTGTAAGCATGGCTGAGATTCTCTCCACCACCAAGCTTGATAAGGAGCAGCGCCAACTCTTAGACGTCATGTTGTCTTCTGGTGATTTAGTTCTCCAACTTATCAATGACATCCTTGACCTTTCAAAGGTTGAGTCAGGTACGAGATTTGTTGACTTCATCAAGGTTTTATTGTCTGTTGCAATCTATAATGTAAATACTAACTACTTTGATTGAGCTGTTCATGAGGTATTCTCTGCCATACACAATGATAATCTCAATTTTTTCCCCCTCCTTCAGGAGTGATGAAGTTGGAAGCTACAAAATTCCGACCGAGAGAAGTAGTAAAGCATGTACTCCAGTCTGCTGCAGCATCTCTGCAGAAAATGCTGACCTTGGAAGGTCATGTTGCGGATGACGTTCCCGTTGAGGTAAGAGCTTTTCATATGAACTGTGTGATTCATGCAATTTACTTCCTCAGAACTGAACACATTGCTACATGGATACATAGATGTGAGGCTTAGCATTTTTATATTCTGACAACTACAGGTCATTGGAGATGTTCTTAGGATTCGACAAATTCTCACCAACTTGATCAGGTACTGAATCTTTAAGGATCAATCTTTAATCACACCATATTCAGCAAAAAGAAGGAAAGGAAAAACTTTAATCATAATATATGTTAGATATAGTTCTTTCTTTTCATTGTTTAAGGCACCATTTATGTTTCATCTAAATTAATGAGTTTCTACATTTTGCAGTAATGCAGTCAAGTTTACACATGAAGGGAAGGTTGGGATAAAGCTTTATGTGATATCAACTCCGACCTGGGGAAAACAAGAAGGATGTCATCAAAAGCTTGATGCAGATCAACCAGTCACTCAAGAAAATGGACAAAAAGAGAATCAACCAACATCACAAACAAGCGGTGATCGAAAAAGTTATCATGGTCACAGTAATGGTTCTTGCCAGAACCATTCGGATGAACCTAGAACCCCAAGTAAGACAGAAACCCCGAGGACTGAGGATACGGATCAACAATCTCATTCTGCTGAAACCACAGTGTGGATACGCTGTGATGTGTATGACACTGGAATTGGAATTCCAGGTATGCTTTAGTCTGTTATGTTTATCTTGAACCAATGGCATGTAATACTAACATATAGTTGGTTTCTCTCTCTCTCTGTTTTTTTTTTTCTTCCCCTTTGTTAGTTTATGCTTCATTTGGTTATTTCAACTTTAGAATAATTTCTGCTTGTTCGAAATTGCTAATTACGAGTTCTCAAATGTCTCATACCAGAAAATGCTATACCTACTTTGTTCAAGAGATACATGCAAGTTAGTGCTGATCACGCTCGAAAATATGGTGGGACAGGACTAGGACTGGCTATATGCAAACAACTGGTAAACTCCTCTTTTCCCATATGCTATATTTAGACTGCTTTTCATTTTTTTCATTATTCTCCTTTTAATGCTGAAAACTTGAGTTTCAATGTATTTGGCATAGGTTGAACTGATGGGGGGTCGTCTCACTGTGTCTAGTCGAGAACACTTCGGTTCTACATTCACGTTTATACTTCCTTACAAGGTTTCAAACACATGTGATGGCTCTGATGATCCGGATGAGCTCTCGGATATGGCTAGTCATGATGCTGCATCAGATGATACAATCGAGAGCTATTTTGAATTCCAGCCACGCACTTTAGGTTCTCTCTTCAATTCTAGTGGAACCAGCAGGACGCCAAAACTACTACCACACAAGATTGGCTACATTAGCTCGCATAAGCTTAATGGGCTTTCTGGCAACTCTTACTCCTTTCCCTATAATAGCAGCAGACCAACAGAGACAGTTTCAGTTGAGGATTCTTGTTCATCAATTAGTGCTGCAGAGACATCACCAGAACCAGAAACTTCAGTAAGGCACAGTGCAGATCCTGATAATGAAGATGGAGCGTCTGGAGGCAAACAGTGTCAAAATGACTCAAACGAAAAACTCCAAAATCCTTGGACAGATCAAACTCACCATGCAGAGTCAAGTAGGGAAATGGATGTAGCACCAAATATGGACAAGCCCCAAGAAGCATCTAAGAGGCAGGAGAAATCTGATACAATAAGCTCTCAGCAGATATCGAAAATCAGCGTAGAAGTACTGAATTCAAACATGGAACCAAAGATACTTCTTGTTGAGGACAATAAGATCAATGTTATGGTGACACAGTCAATGATGAAGCAATTAGGCCACAAAATAGATGTTGTGAATAATGGGGTCGAAGCTGTGCGAGCAGTTCAACGGCGCAGTTACGGTCTTGTTTTGATGGTAATTCTTATGGAATCTCAAATCTTTCTTATTTCTTTTTCTATGTTTCAGTTAAAAAAATAATTTTAAAAACCTTGGTATTCATGCGTTATGCATAACTTGTAGGATGTGTGTATGCCGGTTATGAATGGCCTCCAAGCTACAAGAATAATCCGTTCCTTCGAGGAAACTGGCAGTTGGGAAGCTGCGGAGGAGGCTGGAATTGAATCTAATGTGCCTTCTTCAGAAGGATTACAGAATGGCCAGAGCATTACGCGTCCAACAAACCGAATCCCTATTGTTGCGGTGAGCAATTTCATATAATTATTGTTTCAAGCCTCCCTAGTTCAAGCATTGATCAGGATTTTAGTGCTAAAGATTATTATTATCCTCTTCATCATCATCATGGTTTACATATGAAAGTCTTTAGTATTACATTTTCTGACAGAATTGGTTGGTGAAAATTGCAGATGACCGCGAATGCTTTGTCAGAGAGTGCAGAAGAGTGTTATGAAAATGGTATGGACTCGTTTGTGTCAAAGCCTGTGACTTTCCAAAAATTAAGACAGTGTCTCGAACAATATCTATCTTGATGATATCTTAATTCTTGTAAATTTATGCTTGTGTATAAAAAAAAAAAGAAAAAAAAAGAAGAAAAGAAAAGAGGGAAGACGGCATGGTAGGAAAGTTTTGTAATCAATGTATCATGTTCGTATTAGCCATTAGCATCTCGTGATGAATTGTACAGATCTTTACTCTCGGAAAATCTTAAATATTAGTTCGGTTTTCCAAGGATTGGACAAACCTCTCGCAGTCTAATTAGGTGTTACGACAAGAAAGCAAATTTTTAGAAAAGTGAAAGCGGAAATACAGGTAAAAAATTTATTGAATCTATATTCCTAACTGTATAGGGATTTGTAATGCTATAAAGTGCAACTGTAAACATACACAATGTTAAAGATGCGCGCTTTATTGGGTTATATTAGAACTTGTATTCGCCTATATATGTCTACACTAATGATGACTGTCTTGATGCCATCCATTTTGAGTACTTGATGATCAATTCTTCCAAGGGCCCTTTTAAGTAGAGGAAGGTCTTCCAGGCTCTTCATGGGCAGTGAAGTTGAACTCTGTCTGGTTCGAACAGCTTGACGGACTTGGTGGGAAATTGTTGTTTGGTGAACCATTGACAACATCAATGACATGATTAGGGCTTCTGTTTTGTAGCTCACTATTCTTTCTAAAAGTGTGAGAGCTTAGATCTTTCTCGTCAAAGATTTTCGACACCATTCTGATCTTTTGCCATAGTGAGACTTCAGGGTCAAAGCGTGTCCAGATTTTCCTGTGCTTGTAGAGGAACATAGCCACAAATATTGTGAGAGTTGATAAGGAAGCACTCCCGGCAATAAGGAATAAGCCCCAAAAACTATTAAGGCCAAGACTCGCGGAGGAAGCCGCCGCACTGGAGTCTGGACAAGCGGTAGCTGATGTAAACCATGCGTTTTCAATTTCCTTCATTTTATTTCCTTCTGTCACATTTAAAATCGCCCTGGATACATCACGTACTAAAGGGGAACCTCTTGGGAAGGCCTGCAAGTAAGCACAAAAGAAGAGAGATTACAATGTGCACTAGTTTTGTAAGCTTTTTGTGTGTGTGTGTGAGAGAGAGAGAGAGAGAGAGAGAGAGAGAGAGAGAGAGAGAGAGAGAGGTGTGTGTGTGTGTGTGTGTGTGAGAAGAGAGAGAGAGAGAGAGAGAGAGAGAGAGAGAGAGAGAGAGAGAGAGAGAGAGAGGTGTGTGTGTGTGTGTGTGTGAGAAGAGAGAGAGAGAGAGAGAGAGAGAGAGCTTACAAAGCCAAAGCCGGCAGTTTTATAGATTGGTCCAACCATGGCATAGTTAGAGCAATGCTTCGCAATGAAGAGCTTCACATAAGGAATTTCATCAAAAGCAGCCTCAATGTCACCATTTTCAAAAAGCTCTCCCAAATGTTGTAGGGATTTGTAAACCTTAATCTGAGATGGTTCCAATGGGACAAATTCTCTCAACATTTCTAAGACAAAAGACCCATTCGGGAAACCGACATTCACCTTATTCTTTAGGAGCTCATTCACATTGGTCAGAGTTGGTCGTAGCTGTTGAACGGTTAGTAGTGATGTTAAACTGGCTGTGTAACTTTGAGTAAGTACGAGAACTACAAAACACCATATAATCAACACTATTCTAGCCATGTTGCTCACAACCTGCTCGCCTGCAAACAAGAAATGACGATTATGATCAGATTGAAACCCGTGTACGAAGTGCTTGAGATGAATATTTTGTGGCATTGTACATTATTAAGAAGGTAGAGGAAACTAACTTACGATGTGCAAATACCATGGTGGAGAAGGAGAACCAGAAGCTTGTGCCAACCTGGTGCGAAGGTGGGCCACGGAAATCGTTATTGATGCGGTGCTCTAGAAGCCAAACGACAAAGCCAACAAACAGAAAGAAGCAACATGTTGTCACCCAAAGTTCCCAAGTCCAAGGCTTCAAGAACACCCAAGCGTTTTTCATTTCCATGGATTTGATTGGCACGATCATGGTTACACCAGAATCGGTGTATGGCAGTGTGAAGTCCACATATAAGGACCTGTTTGCTATTATGGTCATGTCAGCTGCCACTGCATCAAAGTTCTGTCAAAAGGTGAAATTGTTACCACACCAATTCATGTCGCACAAAAAGGATTAGATTTAAATATCATTTAAGCAAACCATGTGTCGGGATATGGTTTAACGAAACTTATGAAGATCCAAAACTCTTTTTTCATGTAATTCTCCATTCATTTACATGATTTTTATCATTAGGGTTGGATTCTAGTTGAATCCATTTTTTGGTAAGTTAATGGAATCCCTCCACGTTAAGTAACAAAAGTACTAATAGTAGTATCTTAAGAGTAGTAGTAAGTAGAGAAGAAAGAGTAATACCCCAAGATACACTTGATAAATCATATCATTGTAAGAACCAGCGCTCTCACCATTAGGCTTTGAAAATGGTATGAAATCAAAAGGAACTGCACAAGGCATTTGATCAATCACAGCATTGAAGACCTCTATGCAGAACCCAGTAAACTGTGTTCTGTTGGTACTAGGATCTTTTATCAACTTGACAAAACTAGAATTGCCAGACTTCACTGGCACCCCCACTCTCAATTTCTTCCCATTTGTTGGCGCCACCCATCCCTTGGGAACGGACAGAGAATCTCCCGGCCAGATAACAGGTCCTAGATTCGACTCCGAAGTCAAATAAACAACACTTGCATTTGCGGCCACATTCAACTTTCTAGTAAGTCCAGATTGCGGTGACCAAAAACCCACCAGCCTTTCCCCATTGCCATTCACATTCACAACCTCAAAAGTCGACGACTGAAGTTGCCCACTTACCATGCTGAACTCCCCAGTCAGGCCTCTAAACCGAATCGCCAAAAGCTCATCACGAAGTTTCCTACCGTTCCGAGACACCCCAAAAGTGTCAAGCTGAGTAGAAGAGTTTTCAGAATCATAATGCACAAAGCCTGAACTAGCATAACCATTACCATTCCTCCCACCAACCTTCTCAACCGCCATGGCGAGTGCAAAAGCAGCATCATAAGCCCACAATCCAAAAACATTAAGCTCAGGCGCATCAACAACACCAGGATTCTCTCTTTGGAACTGCCTTTTCCACCTCACTCTAAAACTCTCCAACTCTTTTCTCCTTCCCACATGAGTCTTCACACCCAACACCCCCTGCATTGAACCAACGACCGTACTATTCAACAACTCGGCTAAACCATTCGTGACGATCCAAACACACCCTTTCTCCATCAACCCGATCTCCTCCGCCTTGGCGAAAAGCCGAGACCCGAGATGGGGCAACATGTGGACGACGAAGACCCGGCTCTGCATTGTCATGAGCTTGTAAAGCTCGGAAGCTATTTGCTCGTCGGTGGCTCTAGGAGGAACAGCGCTTCTGTAAGGGACTCGTACGTCGACGTTTTGGAGAGCGTCGGTGAGGTAAGGGATGAAAGATTCGCCGTAGTAGTTGTCGACGTAGATGGGAACGACTTGTCGCCAACCAAAAGCTTGGACTAATGCGGTTATGGGGTTGACTTGGGAAGAGTCGTTTTGGGTTGCTTGGAAGAAGTAGGGGCTGCGAAGAGAAGAGAGAGCAGGGCTTGTTGCGGAGAAGGAGATGATGGGCACGTGAGCTTGTCCGCCGAGGTTGATCACGAAATTGGCCTGCATTGAGGTTTGGGGACCAATGATTGCTTCCACTTTCTCGTTATTCATCAGGTCCAGGGCTGTTTGAAAAAAAAAAAAAAAAAAAAAACAGGGTAATCTTTTTGTTTTGAAACGTTTTTATTTTTTTATTTTATATATGTTACGTGATGTAAATTGTAAAATTGTATTTCAATCAAATGAAATGGAAATTTATAGAATTTGGCAAAACAAAAATCCATAACAGTTACTTTTCTTTTTCAAAAATACTACTTCAGAGCCTTTTGCAGCCATGCGTGTTTATGAAGCAAATTCCATGATATTTACTTTAAAAAAATAATAATATCAGATTTAAGCATTTTAAAAATTTTAAAAAAAACCTAGTCTTTACGAAAGTGATTTATGTAACTTTTTTGAAAGAGTCGTATATTCTTAAAAGTTAAAAGAAGAAAAAGTCAGAAATCAATCTACAATAAATTGAAGGAAAAGAATTCCCTTAAAATAAAGTCAAAGACTTGAAGTCATTTAAAATGTCACATTTAATTTTTTTTATTACATTAAAATTTTTTTAAAAAATATCACATCTCAATTCAAATTAAAAATTTAAATCCGTAAAGTGAACGAGGTCTAGACTTAAAAAATAAAAGCAAAAAGTCATCCTAGAAAAACAGTCGGTTGTCAAATATTCCTTTCTCTATTCCCTGCCTAAGAAATGGTTCTCAACTATTATCACCAAGAAATGAACAAGATCTAAACTCTTGTTTTTTAATTATCAATAAGCGAACAACTAATGCAGTTAATCATAGAACAATCTAAAACAATGAGCATGGTCTAGGAATCCTTGTCAAACAATAGAAGAGCGATATTATACACGCAAAGACAGAGGAATACCAGCAGAAGCAGCTTTGACGACATCTTTGTTGGAGTCCCTTACATGAAGGACGAGACGAGTGTTGTAGAAAGAGCGGGAATTGTAGAAATCTGAGAGAGCCATTTTGAGGCAGCTCAGCCCCACCTTCCCAACCCCTGTATCCAAGTTCAGAATAACTCCCACGTTTACTTCCGTTGTCGAGTTATTTTGCGCCATCGCCGAGAACATGATCCACGTCAATATCATGAAACGAGCGGTGAAACAAACAGAGAGCCCAAAAACACGGGTGTTTGGCTTCTTTTTAGCCATGCTTGAAGCCTTTTTGGATGCTTTGAAAATCATCTTTGGCGCTGATGAGCAGGTGGACTACTTCTTTATATATGAGTGGTTCCTCTTTTTTATTCATTTATATATATTTTTTAATATTTTGTTGAGTGTCTTTGACGATGAAGGAATTGACTTTTGTGAATGGTTGTTTCCTTCTTTGTGTTGGAAGAAAATGTTGTGAGCATTTTTGTCGACTTATAACTAATTAATGTGCATGTCTGAGGGTTGGTAATTAGAAAAATTATTATTAGTTATGCCGGAAAAAAAAAAAATTTATTACAGAAAGAAAGCAGTTAAATATTTCGTAAATTGTAATTATATAAGTATTAATTTTAAAAATATTATGAGTATTATAAAAATTTCATTAATTGAACTTCAATGATTACTGTATAATTTAAAAATTAAAGTTACATTTATACTGATTCTGATTTTGACTATAAATTTTTTAAAAAATTCTTTAAAAATAATTTTTTATAGTTTTTATTAAATATAAATTTTAACGGCTAGAGAATTAATTTTTAGATATAAAAAACACCATCCAAAGCATCAACACTCAGACGAGGGAATGCTTGGCTTAACTCAAAAGGTATGATTATGAAAGAAGCCAAGCAGCGATGTGTATGCATATGAAAAGGACGGTTTGACTGATCATGGCAAGGGAAGAAGCTACGGTTGTTCGGTCTGTTCCCGTTAAACTGGAGATTGGGACAATGGAGTTTGAGTTGTGTTAGGAACCACCGACCTTGTCTTGGTCACAGGGAAAGTGTCCATGGCGCCAAACAATGAGGACCAAGACAAGGAAGAAAAACAGTTTGTCATAAAATATTTCGGTCATGGGTTTGTTCTGCAATTTCAATTTCAAGGGGTGCCGGTGTAGTTCTTGCTCAAAAAGATAAAAAAAAAATATCTTCCGAGTTTACAAATAAAGCCATGGCCAGTTGCATCATTCCAAACGCCGAAACAAAAGTTTAATACATAAATTTATACTTTTATACGGTTAATTTTCAATTTTAACTTTTATAATATCTAAAATACCCTTAATAAAAAATATTAAAAGGAAAGAAAAACTAAAAGAAAAAAAAAAAGTTAAACCGCAGTTTTGACCTTAATAATATGCAAAATACCCTTAAAATAGTTTTTTTTTTTTTGCTTTTTATTTAATGTTTTAGTTTTCTTTTTTCACTTTTTCTTAAAGATGTTTGGTTGGAGAATTCAAACTATGTGATTTGAATTATTTTTGATTTACGTGAATTTTTTGTGAGAGAAAATACTGTAGCGAACCACGAATCATGATTCGAATCAGGGAACGAATCCCTCTACCAAACATCCTAGATCATTTTAAAGATCAAAATCAATTATTGAATGAGATAAAGTATAGATTTAAATATTTAATTTAATTTAAAAATATACATTTAATAAAATTAAAAACTGAAAGTATAATTTTTGAATAAAACCAAAATATAAGATATAAAAATATAAATATCCCTTTTTCTTATATAGGGTGCTAATATTAATTTATTTTTGCGAGTCGTCGTCAGAATGTTTTCATTACTGGATTAAAAGCATTTTATCATCTCTGCCATTTTTGTTGTTTTCAATTATTTACTTACTTTTTAGTATACGAGTATGGGTAATAGTGTGTTAAAATTAATTTAATTTTGTGAGTCGTCATCGGAATGTTTTCATTATTGGATCAAAGAAGCATTTTATCATGTCTGCCATTTTTGTTATTTTCATGGTATTGAATGTCCGAGACTCCGTTCATTTCACCGATTTGAGTTTAGAATTCGTGTTTTGCTACAGTAAAAAGCTCTAAAAAACAGTCATTTTTAACTTTTTTACTACAGTAAAAAGCTTTCACTTAAAGTTACATATCAACTCGAATTAAATACTCAAATCATCGAACTAAACGGACCCTGAATGTACTCATTACTGAATCAAAGAAGCATTTTATCATCTATGCCATTTTTGTTATTTTCATGGTATTGAAGAACCAAAAAATCCAATTCAAATGGCAGCCCAAGGTCCAAAATCATATTTGGTATAGATTTAAAGGAGGATGATTCAAACCTCCAAGTCCATTTTAAACCCCTAGTGTGGTTCTTGCTCAAAAAAACAAAAAAAAAAAAAATCTTACTAGTTTCAAATTAATAAAAAAATAATTGGTGAACAGGTGAATGGCAAGATGTAAAATAAAGCCATGGCCAAGTTGCATCATTCCAAACGCCAAGACAAAAGTTAATCTGATGCAGCAGCAACTGAGGCCGACCAACCGCCGCTTATCTATATGTTTTCAATTGTCGTTTGATTTAATTTCTTGTTGTCATTTTGTCGAGTGCTTTGTCGTTTGGGACTTTTACTGTCCTGGAGTTTTGGTATGCGTGCCATTTAGTGTGTTGCTGGATATTTGAGAAATCTAGCTGAGTATATTCATATTATAGACATTGTGAGTCTTGAGCTCAGCTCCACTTAATACTAATATAAAAGGGTCGATTCCACTTGAATCTCCTTCATTTTTCTGCCAATTCCGAGTTGGAATCTGGTTGTTTTCGATCTCTACGTCATAGTTTATGAAATCGCTATGAGCGAGAAATATATTTACATATTTACAAGTTACAACAAAAAAGTTAAAATCTACTTATACATTATTATTCACAACTACAAACGCCTAAAAACTCAAGCTAATTTAGTTGAGGTGTAGTTTCTGTGTAGCTGACATGAGTTTATAAAAATCTTAGGGTAATCAATCAATAATTTTTACTGCCTATATTTTCATTCATCTGGCTTCTAATAAGGAGTTATGGACGTCATTTGCCTGGGGAAAGTAAGCTCTACATCAGAAACTATTTCTTCGTCAGTTGATTGAGCACCATTTGGGCTTGTAGGGTCATTCTCAGTTCCTGAAGGCGTTCCTTGCTCCGTAAACACAAAGTTCGAATCAGTATGAACTGAATAGCTCGAAGGACTTGGCGGGCAGTTGGTGTTCGGAGATGATACTACATCGGCAATGCATCTGTCTCCCACTTCGCTCTTTTTGAAAGTATGTGATCTCAGGTCCTTTTGGTCAAAATTGATAAAAACGGTTTGAATTCTCTTCCAAAGAGAAGCCTCTAGATCAGAGCTCATGAAGACATCTCTTTGCTCGTAAAGAAACATGGCCACGTATATGATTAGAGCTGATAATGACGTAATGCCGGCGATTAGGAAAAGTCCCTTAAAGCTTTCGAGGCCGAGACTTTGGGAATAATACTTGTTGTTGGGGTCTGGACAGCTGGGTTCTTTTTTGAACCAAATCTTTTCAATGTCCTTCATTTGATTTCCCTCCGTCACTGTTAGTATTGCCCTTGAAATGTCAGGAACCAAAGGTGAACCCTTTGGGAAGACCTGGTAAAAACATATAATCACATAGATATTCAATTAAGTTTGTATAAGTGAAAACAAAAAGATATGCAAGAGAAAAGGTCGGAAAAATATCTCACAAATGCAAAGCCATCAGCTTTAAATGTTGGTTCAACCATGGTAAACTTGGAGCAATATTTTGCAAGAAAAAGCTTCATGTACGGGTTTTCATCAAAAGCAGCAGATATACCACCCTTTCTGCTCCCATTCGCAAAGAGTTTATATAATTCTTCAGGAGAATTGTATCTCTTGAATTGGGACTCGTCGAAGCCCAGTTGCTTTAGAATTCCTTCGACAAAAGAACCTGATTGGAAGCCGACGTTCTCCCTGTTCTTCAGGAGCTGGTTCACGTCGGTAACTCTTGGTTGCAGCTGTTGAACCGTTAAAAGCGAAGTCAAACTAGCGGTGTAGCTTTGAGTGAGTATAAGCACCACAAAGCACCATATGATCACCACAAACCTTGCCAAGTTACTCACAACTTTTTCCCCTGCAAACAACAAAAAAAGATAAATACATGGTTATCCTTGATTGGTCCTAATTGCACGGAGCATTTCTTCAGTTCTAAAAATGAAGGAAAACAAGTCCAAAGAACTTACGATGTGCAAAAACCATGATAGAGAAAGAGTACCAAAAGCTTGTTCCAACTTGATGATGTGGGGGCCCGCGGAAGTCTTCATTTATACGATGTTCAAGAATCCACACAACAAACCCAATAAAAATGAAGAAACATCCACTTGCTACCTAAAGATCCCAAGTCAGAGGCTCCATGAACACCCATGCACTTTTGCTTTTATCTTTTTTAAATGGTACTATCATTGATACACCAGATTCTGTATATGGCAATGTGAAGTCCACATACAAAGACCTATTTGCTCTGATCGTTATGTCCCCAATTGCCGCATCCAAGTTCTATCAAATAAGGACATAATACATTTAGCTTTTAATAGTGTTACAGAGAAAAAAAAAAGACACCTACACAGGTAAACCTATAAACCTAATATAGAATTATGTACTTCAACATGTTTTTCAATCAATGTCTAAAAGAATACCTTTTACTTCTTTATGTTACTATGTAAGGTTTGCCCATCAAAATGCATATTAAGCCCATTGATAATAACAAAAAATAGAGAGTGAAAAAGAGCAAATAATTACCCCAACAAACACTTGGTAGACGAAATCATTGTAAGTGCCAGCAGCCTTGCCTTGGGCATTCGCAAAGGGAACAAACTCGAACGAAACAGAATAAGGCAGAGCACCTAAAACGGCCTTGAACACATCTATACTGTACCCTGTAACAGTATCGTTTGAGAAAGGAAACGACACATTCACAAACTCCTCAAAGCCTTTCTTCACCGGAACACCTATCTTCAATCTCTTCCCTTGCGTCGGAATCTGCCATCCTTTGGGAATAGAGTTCGAATCCCCAGGCCAAATTATAGGTCCTAAGCTCGTATTAGAAGTAGAATATGTGCTTCGATTTCTCAAATCCAACTTTCTCATCAATCCACTCTCAAACGTCCAAAACCCTAGTCTTCTTTCCCCGCTTCCATTAACATTAATTATCTCATAAGTAGGCGTCTGTAATTGCCCGTTTACAAGCTTGAAATCTCCAGAAAGGCCTCTGAATCTCGTCCTTGACAATGCCTCGACGAGTTCCGGACCGTCTTCAGAAATCCCGAAGGATTCCAAATCGGTGGAATTTCTAGAAAAGTTCGTCCGTTTGAAATTGAAGTTAGCGGTTTTCGTGATCTCCTCGACCGCTATGGCCAAGGCGAAAACGGTGTCATACGCCCAGAGCCCGAAGACGACCAACGGAACCGTCGGATTCTCGCGGTGGAATCTGGTGGTGAAATTCTCAAGCGCCTTCGTCTTCGGAGCGTAAGACTTCACTCCTAAAATGCCTAGCATGGATTCGAGGACAGATGAATTTAAGGTGCTCATGAAATCGGAGATTCCATCGGTCACAATCCAAACGTAACCGTCGCTCATCATTCCGATCTCCTCCGCCTTGGCAAAAATCCGAGACCCGAGATCCGGCAACATGTGGACGACGAAGACTCTTGTCGGCATTGTCATGAGCTTGTAAAGCTCGGCGGTGATGTAGTCATCGGAGGCCGCCGGTGGGATCACGCTCCGGTAGGGCACGCGCGCGTCGACGGCTTGTAAGGCGTCGGTGAGGTACGGAATGACGCCCTCGCCGTACTCGTTGTCGACGTAGATCGGGACGACTTGCCGCCATCCGAAGGCCTTGACGATGGCGCCGATGGCGCCGACCTGAGCCGAGTCGTTCGCGGCGACTCGGAAGAAGTAGGAGCTCCGCAGGGAGGCGAGAGATGGGCTTTTGGCGGAGAATGTAATGATTGGGACTTGGGCTTTTTCTCTGAGATCGATTATGAAGTTGGTCTCCATTGATGTTACTGGCCCAATTATTGCTTGTACTTGAACGTTCTTGATTAGGTCCAAAACTGTTATTTTTGAGAAAATTAGAGAATTTACCTTATCCATTAGTTTTAGGGAAGAATTTCCATTAGATTGATGATTGCTTAATTGGAAAACAAGAGAAATAAAACTTAGCAAGTTTACAAATTATTTGTTTCCTAAATAATACACAGATAAAATTAATTTGAAGATTAATTTCTTTTCCTATAAACAAAAGATCTCTTGTATTTTATTTTATTTTGGCTTGATTATTTTAAAGATTAATTTCTTTTCCCTATAAACAAAAGATCTCTTATATTTTCTTTTCGCTTGCCGTTGGCTTAAGTAATATATGTATATATATGGTTTCGTAAATTTCTTAAGTTTTTTGTTTTTGTTTTTGTTTTTACCGAGGCTTTAAATGTTTTGAAGATTCATACTCTATTATTACTGTTTTCTGCCCTGATTTGCTTCCAAATAAAAAAAAAAAAAAAAAAGGCCAAATAACGACTAAGTTGGCTAGCACTAAATGACATGCTTGTAAAAGTGGGATTGAAATATGAAAATATTTTCGCGTTTTAATGATGATGATAATGATTTTAGCGTTTTATATTATATAATAAGATTACATGATAATTATTATAACAAGTTTAACTTTTATATTTGTAAAATTTTTAATTTTTTATTATATTTCAACGTAACTAACAATTATACTATTATATGTCTCCCTCACTTATTTATTTATTTATTTATTTATTTATTTTTAAGTCAGTTGGGGAACAAAAATTAGTCGGTTGGGTCTACTTGTCTTACATTTACTCAGAACTTCAGAGATTTAGGGTTTGTTCTTTTAGAGTTTAACTTGAGTATAATTCTTGAGTTGAATTTGAGTTATAACTTGAGTTGAACTTGTAACTTGAAGTTGTGTTTGATTGTGTACATTTGAATTATGGTTTGAGATAAGAATCTTTTTAAGTTTGTGTTTGAATGAATCAAAACTTAAATTTGTATTTAGATAGTATTTTAATAAAAACTCAATGTTGATGAAAAATTTTAATAGGGTATATGGGTCAGGTTTTATTCGTCTTTTCATTGTCAACGCATAGAAAAAAATCATCTCAATCATAATTAAAACGAAAAAATTATAACATTTTTAAGAATAGAAAAAATACTGTTCATTAATTTGAGTTCGAGTTTCTAAACTCGAGTTGAAGGGAAAATTTGAACTCGAGTTTTAGTCATAAACTCGAGTTTGAACTCGAATTTAAATTTAAAAAAACATGAACTCGAATAAAGTTGTAACTCGAGTTATTTTTTTTTTTTTTGAGTTTTTCACTCAAAAGAACAAGCCCTCAACTTCTTACCTTTTTCTTTTTCTTAATTTTGAAGTATAAAAAAATAAATTATTTTCATAAATATCCCTTAAATATATACTATATTTTAAATTTTCTTTAACTTTTAAAAACAATTCAAAACATCTTTATATATAAAAAACAATTCAAAACATCCCTTAATATATAAAAAAAAACAGTTCAAAATGCCTCCCATCCTGTTCCGTCTAACAGATTGCTTATGCATCATGTTGTTAAAAATTAACTATAGCTATTAAATTCTAATTAAATCTATAAAATTATTAAATAATAAAAAAATAAAAAGCAAATAAAAATGGGATTTAAAAAAATAATTAATAAAAAATTGAAAACCTCTTCTCTGATTCTCCACATCCAAAAAAAAAAAAAAAAAAATCCGACGACCATCTTCATCTCACCGTTGAGACTCGCCTTCGCGAGGCCTTCTCCGACGCTGCCCAACTCCGATGAAACTCACCTTTCCGTCCTCCGAGCCCAGCCACACCCATCCCCAATCAACACCATCAATAACATTTTATTTCTCATCCAAATCAAACGAAAATCCATAAAAATGACTCTCAATCTCAAAACTCGAATCTCCGAGCGTCGTCGAGACAAACGTAGAGATCTCCCGTGACCTGAGATGGCTCGATGGGTTGCTATGAACCAGATCCATCTTTGGAAGCCTAGCTACAAACCAGCTTAACCGCCACGATTTCCCTCCGCCACACGAGCACCAAATCCATTGTCAACCATCATTTCCCTCTATGTGCAGGTCTTAGTTTTGACCTATTCGCCTCTTGAGCACCAAGTCTTATTCCCCTTCTCCTTCACCAAAAATTTGGGTTTGACAGAGCTAGTTTGAGGTTGAGATTGAGCGAGTCGACTCAGGAGGGAGGACGAGGTTGCGGTAATCCATGTGGTTGGAGGTGAGGAAGGAATTGCGAGACTAGTGGAGGAAAGAGGAGGAGTAAGCATGGTTGGTAGTGGTGGGGATTAGGGTTTGGTATTGGTCAAGAATTAGGTTTGAGGAATTGGGGGTGGAAGGAGACGATGTTTGGGTCAGGTTAAGGGTCTTTTTTTCTTTTATTTTAATTACTCATTTATTAATGTTTCTAATATTTAATTATTTTTCAAAAATTAATGTCTTTAATTAAGTTTTAATGGCATGCCACGTCAGTGGATTTGTTGTAATTACATGCCTTGTCATCAGCAAAACCGTTTGGGTGGGGTATTTTGATAAATTTTTTATAGATAGAGTTTTTTGAAGTGTTTTAAAAAATTAAGGACACGTTAAAATAAGATAACATATTTTATGGGACATTTTTAAAAATAATCCAAAAGAATATTCATAAAATTATCAGTCAATAGGTGGACTTCTAGACTTATTCGGGGATCTCCCAATATTTGTACATACGTCTTTTTCATAAAAGAATTTTCTTTAAAGCGTTATTATTGGGATGAAGATACGATTAAATAATAATTATGCAAATTTTATATTGCCTGCTGATTTCTAGTGACCTTGCAGAACATATACAGTTAGAATACTACTATTTCATACGTGTATATATATACACTCAAAATATTATATATAACTTACGTGTATTATTTTTGTTTCATTTTTATAATAATTCAAAGTCAAATGCGATCTTCTTCCCAACCGCGTAGTGAAGTAAGACAGATTCTTTAATCGGGTAGGCGAGGGTAGGCGAGTTAGGAGTGTACACGGATCGGATTATACGAATTTAAGATCAATCTGTAATCTAATCTATTTATATAGATTTCAAAAATCTCAATCCGCTATCAATTCGTTAGACTCTCAATTCAATCTAAATTTACGGATTATATTATATAAATTGGCAGATTGATCTATGTTTTCTATATTCTCATGAAATTAAATACAAAATTAAACACAAACATAATATAACATAAAATTTAAATACTTCCACAATTCATTACAACACAATCTAACATAACACATATATAATTAAATATCTATATATACAATTAAGAAGAATCTCTTATATATATTATTAAAAATATATAAATATATAAATATATAAATATATATAGTATATATATTTTAGATTGATGGATTATACGGATTGAGAAACAATTTCCATTGTCAACCATCATTTCCCTCTATGTGCAGGTCTTAGTTTTGACCTATTCGCCTCTTGAGCACCAAGTCTTATTCCCCTTCTCCTTCACCAAAAATTTGGGTTTGACAGAGCTAGTTTGAGGTTGAGATTGAGCGAGTCGACTCAGGAGGGAGGACGAGGTTGCGGTAATCCATGTGGTTGGAGGTGAGGAAGGAATTGCGAGACTAGTGGAGGAAAGAGGAGGAGTAAGCATGGTTGGTAGTGGTGGGGATTAGGGTTTGGTATTGGTCAAGAATTAGGTTTGAGGAATTGGGGGTGGAAGGAGACGATGTTTGGGTCAGGTTAAGGGTCTTTTTTTCTTTTATTTTAATTACTCATTTATTAATGTTTCTAATATTTAATTATTTTTCAAAAATTAATGTCTTTAATTAAGTTTTAATGGCATGCCACGTCAGTGGATTTGTTGTAATTACATGCCTTGTCATCAGCAAAACCGTTTGGGTGGGGTATTTTGATAAATTTTTTATAGATAGAGTTTTTTGAAGTGTTTTAAAAAATTAAGGACACGTTAAAATAAGATAACATATTTTATGGGACATTTTTAAAAATAATCCAAAAGAATATTCATAAAATTATCAGTCAATAGGTGGACTTCTAGACTTATTCGGGGATCTCCCAATATTTGTACATACGTCTTTTTCATAAAAGAATTTTCTTTAAAGCGTTATTATTAGGATGAAGATACGATTAAATAATAATTATGCAAATTTTATATTTTATAATTTTAAAAAAGAGATTAATGTAAGAAGAGAATGGACAAGAAAACAAATATACAACCAAATATCTATATGCATGGAAAAAGCTACATAAAAAATAAATATATATATACACACACACACACACACACACATACATATACATACAAATATGGCAACTTGATCATATAACTAAATAGCTGGAGGCGAAAGAAAAGTATAAACCACGGAGGAAGAGATTAATTGTAAGATTTAGCAACTTATCACAGTGATATTTCAAAGATGTGATATACCCAACTGGCAAAAACTCACAATCGAAGTATTGAAGGATATATGATATATGTAAATCGTATATATGTTGGAGATCATGTATACACACACTTATATATATATATATATTTATATATGATGAGAAATTAACATTAATATATAAATACCTGCAGCAGCAGCTCCAACGACATCAGATTTGGAGCCCTTAGTGTGGAGAATCAATCTGGTGTTGTAGTGAGGATTGGATGCATAGAAATCGGAGATTGCCATGTTGATGCAGCGCAACCCCATCTTCCCAAACGTCGTTTCCAAGTCTAGAATCACCCCAACATTGACTTCTATTGATCTGTTATTATTTGTTGTACTACTCTTCTGCGCCGAGCCCAACAAAAATACTCTAGTACTAAGCCAAACCAACAAAACAAAAACAAAAATCACTGGGACTACGTGATCTTTCTTCTTGATCATCATGTCTGAAAGTTGGAAAACTGTGGCGTTCAGTTACGAGCAAAATCATGAAACCGCGCTCGCGCTTTACTTATTTATAACGACCATATAGAATATGCAGGAAGCTACTACAGTTTCCTTTGAAAGCTACACATCTGGATTATAAAGCCATCTTCGACCAATAAATTATAAAATAAAGGAAAAACGTACATATATATATATATATTCATCAAATATATATGTATATATGACCTGTTTTGGGAATGTCTTACCAAAAGTTGTGCATCTTGTGCACATTGTGGAAGTAGTCAAAATGCGATATTTTTTGAAGTTTAGCCTAGAGGTGTGGAACGGTATTTCTTTAATTGCCTTAAGAATGGGGGCCTATTTTATATATCTTTCGATGCTTTCTATTTGCATATTCAAAAAGGACTTCATTCTCTCTCTCTCTCTCTCTCTCTCTCTCTATCTAATCTAATTCTTAATGCGGATTGGAAAAATCTCAATCCATTATTAATCTAAAATTAGTCTAATTCAATTCGATGGATTAGATTGAATTACGTGGATTGGATGAATTGACGGCTTCAGTGTACACCTTAAGGCTAAGGCTGAGTGTTGGTAACGGAAGTCCAACAATCTCTATTAGGGCTTGAATGATAAAAAGGCTGAGGAACTAACTAGTAAAAAGACAACTTTCAATAAGCAAAATAAACGATGTACAGCAAAATAAACGGAGAACAGAGTGTATATATGTAGTTTTATAAAGAGTTGAAAATTATATCAGAAGTTAAAGAAAAAAATGTATATGTAGTTTATAATTTTAAAAAAGAGATTAATGTAAGAAGAGAATGGACAAGAAAACAAATATACAACCAAATATCTATATGCATGGAAAAAGCTACATAATAAATAAATATATATATACACACACACACACACACACACATACATATACATACAAATATGGCAACTTGATCATATAACTAAATAGCTGGAGGCGAAAGAAAAGTATAAACCACGGAGGAAGAGATTAATTGTAAGATTTAGCAACTTATCACAGTGATATTTCAAAGATGTGATATACCCAACTGGCAAAAACTCACAATCGAAGTATTGAAGGATATATGATATATGTAAATCGTATATATGTTGGAGATCATGTATACACACACTTATATATATATATATATATTTATATATGATGAGAAATTAACATTAATATATAAATACCTGCAGCAGCAGCTCCAACGACATCAGATTTGGAGCCCTTAGTGTGGAGAATCAATCTGGTGTTGTAGTGAGGATTGGATGCATAGAAATCGGAGATTGCCATGTTGATGCAGCGCAACCCCATCTTCCCAAACGTCGTTTCCAAGTCTAGAATCACCCCAACATTGACTTCTATTGATCTGTTATTATTTGTTGTACTACTCTTCTGCGCCGAGCCCAACAAAAATACTCTAGTACTAAGCCAAACCAACAAAACAAAAACAAAAATCACTGGGACTACGTGATCTTTCTTCTTGATCATCATGTCTGAAAGTTGGAAAACTGTGGCGTTCA